CTTCCCCAGCCCCAGGTGCGCCACCCGCTTCCTCCTGGTCCCCTCATCTGGGAACAGGGCGAGGGAGGTTTGTGGGAAGCGCAAGTGGATATGGCCCCTGCAGGGCGCCTGCAATTCTCCTGGTTGCCAGTGATTTCACGCAGGTTGGGAGAGGAGGGCCCAGGTGAGAGGCCCCGCTGGGCCCGCAGCCCTCGCCCCAGGATCAGGCCGGAAGCACAGCAGGAACCCACAGGCCCCGAGAAGAATGGGGCGGAAGTAGCCGTGGTGATGGGGTCACTGGGACGAATCGCCAAGGCATGGGAGCAAGACGCACACACAAACACCCAAGCCAAAGCCGAATAAACAACAGAAATCTTCAGAAACAGAGCTATGTCTTTCTATATCTAAGTACCTATCAATGTCGCCTATGTAGCTGTCAATCAATCAATCAATCAATCAGGAAACTGCCTGTCTGAACCACCCGGGTTCCCTCCTCGCCTTCCCCGAGTCTCCGTGACACTGGACACTTCCGTGTCCGGCGAGGTCACACGGTCCCGTCTGCAGGCCCCGCCTCGGGTCCCTCTGGGAAGGAGGGACACGGACGCTATTGTTCTGGGCCTCACAGGAGCCCAGGCAGCACCTGAGCCGCCCTGGGCTGGCCATGGGCAGCCTGCTGCCTGGTCTGGGAGGGAAATGAGGCCACTGGGAAGGGCTGATCAGCCAGCTCTGAGGCCGGTTTCCTGAGCCTTGGAGACGGAGCCCCCCACCTCCAGCGAGGCCGCCTCGGAGAATTCCGTGCCCACCACAGGTGAGCAGGGCTGTCCCACAGGAAATCTCAAGGTGACCCTGGCACAACGCCAAGGACGGGGGCCGAGCCAGGTGGCCTTGGCACATAACTGCCACGGACAAAGCATAATGAGCGCCCCATCACCAAAGACCTTCAAGCAAGACTGGGCAGCTTTAGGTTTTATGTGGTGCATGGGCCAGGGCTGGGCAGAGAGAAGCACAGAAAGCATTGGTTTGTGGTTGAGGGTTTCACTGTTGGGGGGAGGGGGAGGTGTTCTGGCCAAGGCAGGACGTCAGCAGCAGCCACCCAAGTGTCAACGCAAGTGGGGCAGTAAATGAACCTGGCCCGGCAGGCAGCGGAATATTACGCGGCCGTGAAAAAGAAAAGGAAGCCGCTTACGCACTGAAAAACTGTGGGAAGACACACCAGGTAATAAAAGCAGGTGGAAATATTGTTTAAAATGGAGAGAAAAAAAATAAGAAGAATAAGAAACAGAGCCACGCTGGCTTGTTTGTGTAAAGAAAGAAAAACACAAAAAACAAGTGTAACAGCAGGTACCGCGGCGGTGGCCTGGGAATGGGGAGGGGGAATGAAGGCCTTTTTACATTCTTGGAGTTTCGAACTACATCAGCGGTTCTCAACCTGTGGGTCGCGAAGCCCTTTGGGTCGCCTAAGACCATCGGAAAACACATATATAATTACATATTGTTTTTGTGATGAATCACTGTGCTTTAATTATGTTCAATTTGTAACAATGAAATGGGGGTCCCCACAACCTGAGGAACTGTGTTAAAGGGTCCGGCATTAGGAAGGTTGAGAACCATGAACTACGTGCACGTACTGTCTATGTGGAAACAATCTGGCTCGCGGCATTCTCCAGCCATGCCGCCAACACCCAGTCCGGCACCCCACCGCCGCCCCTAAATGCCTGCTGTTACTCAGCCCCCTCACCGCTGAGCCTGGTAGCGGCCAGGTGCTCGGGTCTCCCGCACTAGGTCTCCCTGGGTCCTGAGAGTGGTCAGGGCCGGTGACTGAGAGGCCTCAGGGACGCTCTGCCACCCGAGTGGGGGGTTGATATCTCTTCCACAAAAAGAGAAACGGAGGCTCAGAGAGGTTAAGGAACTTGCCGAAGCCACACAGCCAGAGAGCTCCCGAGTTTCAGCGTGATTTCCCAGCATCCAGAGGGTGTGCTTTGTGGGAGGGATGCTATGGGGGTGCCCAGCGGGGGCCCCAGGCTCTGCCAAAAACCCCACAAAGCTGAGAAGGTCACACCTTCTGCCCCTGGAGGAGAAAACACCCTGGAGGGGGTTCCTGGGGGAGCACAGGCTCAGACCGGTGCAGTCCCTCTGCTTTCGCCTGGAGACCTCGTGGGCAGCCTGTGGTCACACTGGCATTCCAGGGGCCTGCCTGGCATGTGGGGAATGTCCCCGCAAAGGCCTTGCCCTTCGGAGAGGCTCGGAAAAGGGAAGTGCTCCCAGACAGGGTGAGGCGCGGGCTGCAGCGAGTCCCCTTTGGAGGGTGGCGAGTTGGGGTCCTGGAGGATGAGGGTGTTACCCCTCCCTGTGCTGGCTCGGGGTCCTCTGACGTGTGGGTCTCAGGTACGAAATGGAAGGCACACTGGCCAGAGAGGCGGGACCTGGGCTCACACCTTCAGGGCTGCCCAGCCTCTAGCACCCCCTGCCCTGCCCAGGAAGAGGGCACACTGCCCACCCCCTACCCCGGAGGCCACAACCCGCGGCTCCTGCTGGCCACTGCCACGACACCTATTGGGGCAGCCAGGCTGGGTGGTGCCCGGCCACTGGGAGCTGGTCTTCAAGGCAGTGTCCTCGGGGTGGAGCGGGGCCTCAGGGAACCCCACCCCCCTCACCGGAGGGCCTGACTGCAAGGCCAGGGCTGGGTGAGTTGGGGTCTGCAGACCCCTCCCCAGC